TCAAATCCAGCGTGAGCTTTGAGGGGAGTGATGCAGGGTAAAGGGAAATGAGGAACTGAGCACATCCGTGGTAAGCTCTGAGGGAATGTGAGTGGCAACCTGATTCAGAACAGAAATCTAGCAGGTCCCTTGGGGTTGGGGGTGGGGGTTGCTAGGCCCTCAGCAAGGTTTAGAAGTACCAGAAAAAAATGCCCTGCACCGATAAGCAAAGAAGAGGCTCCAGTCACAGGGGCAGAGGCAGGAAGTGGGGGAATCACACTGGAATACTGGTTCGGAACGCTCAGGCCTCTGAGTTGGGGAGATGAGATGCGAGAAAAGATGCGTGTCTGAGAGCTTGGCTCTTGTTTTGCAGTGTGTGCTAGGAGTGAGAGGGGCTGCTGAGGGTTGGGGGCCCGTCCAGTGAACATGACCTGCTTGTGTTTTCAGAGCAAAACTATTAAAACTTTAGTCAAGAGTCCAAAAGACCCCCCAAACCCCTTTTCTCAAAGCCACTGGTCTGACTTGCTCCACCAGCTTCAAGAATAAACACAGTGACCTCATCTTTATTTTCCCACACAGGCCCCCACCTGCTTTATTACCATTAAGTCCTTTTTCTTTTTCCTTAATGTTTTTTTGGTCACACCTGGCGGTGCTCAGAGGCTCCTTCTGACTCAGTGCTCTGGGGTTGCTCCCCATGGTGCTCTAGGGTCCCTCTATGTCAGGGATGGAATCCAGGTCTCCTGCATGCAAAGTTTGTCCTTCAGACCTTTGGGCTCTCTCCACAGTCCCCCATTTAGTGCTCCTGAGAGGACTCACTCTATCTTCTTGCCCTCCTCACCCCCACAGTTGTCCAGAAAGTTTCTCGGTCCAGGCTCTCTGTAGCCTATTGCCATTGCTTCCTGTAGACACATGGTGTCGCTGTGGAAAAGAGGCCTGTGTTTGGGGTCTATGGGCTCAGTGTTTCAAGAATTCTGCTTTTCTCCGGGCTGGAGCAACCGGAGTTCGATTCCTCCGTCCCTCTTGGAGAGCCCGGCAAACTACTGAGAGTATCTCGCCGCCACGGCAAAGCCTGGCAACCTACCCGTGACGTATTTGATATGCCAAACACAGTAACAACAAGTCTCACAATGGAGATGTTACTGGGTCCGCTGGAACAAATCGATGGAAAACTGCAGGACAGTGTTACAGTACTACAGTGCTTTTCTCCAGTGAGACTCATCAGTTCTCCACACTGGATCACACGCTCATACTTGGCCATTACTCTCCAGAGCACAACTGATGGGTGAGGACAACTGATGAGTGAGGTGTTGAAACATTCCCTTCTTGACCCTGGCTGAGGATCTCTGCTACCTGGGGCCCACCTTGGGAGAGAAGACTTGGATCATCGGTCTCTCCCTCTCTAGTAGTCCTGATCCACCACACATCGATCCACCTCCTCTCCAGCCAGATCAGCACACCTGGTCACTATGCTTGTGGTCAGCACCATCCATGGCTGCCACTAGACCAGGCATCTTACTAGTAACCAGTGTTCTATTAGACACAGTTTTCTTGGGGCTCTGAGTTCAGGTTTGAGAGTCAGTGTTTCTTAACTTTTATCAGTCTGTGACCTTCTTTCAACTTTGTTTCCTTCCTATGCCTTCCTCTCATGCTATGGCCCCATGTTCATGCAATTTTCACCTGTGGCTCCTTGGAATATCCTAGGGCCTAGAGGGTGGGGTCTCTGGCCCCTAATTTAGGACCACTAAATTAGACCTTGGCTTCACCCCAAGTCTGTAAACCTAAAAAAGTTCTTACTTCTGTGAACCTCAGTTTCTCTGTCACATGGAGAGAGAGAGAGAGAGAGAGAGAGAGAGAGAGAAATGTGCTTTATAAAATCAATAAGACGAAGCCATTCGTGCAGTATCTGGCATAATATAAGCCCTCAGATGGTTATCACTGCTGTTATTATAATAATGATAGTGATTACAATAAGAAGGAAGTCTAAGAAAACCGGCTTTATGGCTTTTCCCTATGATTTTGTTAGAAACCTGCATCATCCTTGAGTTTTGAAACTCAGGGTTCACACAGGAGACTGACAACCCGTGTCTCCGTGCCATGTCCAAGCCATGTATTTTCTTACTCCAAATTCAAAAGAGCACTTGTTGCTTCTCATCCAAATGTGGCCCTCCTGGCTGACCCAAATGGCCGTGTCCTCTGAGAAACCACCTCGAGATTCGGTGATAGACACATGTTGAGACCAGTATTCCCACCTTTGGGAAAGGGTGGGGAGGGGTGTCTGCTCGGTGTCTGCTCTCGTGCTGTGCCGCATGGTTTAGTATGGAGCAAAGACCTTGAAGGGCACCCACCCTGGCGAGGACTGGCCCCCAGCAGGAGTCACAGGAAGGGACCTTCTGCCTTCTCTCTTGATCTTGGGCCAGCCCTTTGGATAAGGCTGGGCTTATATGTAGGGAAAACACTTCCTTTGTGCAAGATTGGAATAAAGAGACTTGGGGCAGGGGAAGAAGGGAGCTGAGAGCAAAGAGATGTTCTCTGGGGCTTAAGGCACTTGTTTCCATGCAGCTGACCCCGGCACTACTGGATGTGGCCCCCGAATCCAACCACAAAACTAAAAAGCTTTGGAGAAAAGCGGGTGCCCTTTGGAGCACTTCAGTTGTTCTCTGTGGCTTTGCTTTCACTGGTCAGTACAGTCCTGGAGGGTGTGGGATCCAGGGTGGGGGATTCGGGGTGGGGGTGTGCAGGGGGTGTGTGTTGTGAGCAGGCGGCAGCCGCAGAGAGTAAGGGCGGCAGCTGAGAATGTGGAGTCTCCGGACTCTGGAGTTCCTGGATTCCTTCTGTTTCAACCTGCGTTTTACTCTCCCATGGGGCCTCTGCCCACAGGAGCCCAGGAACAATGCCACTGTTGTTCCCCAGGGTGGGTAACATGCCAGGATCCTGAGCCACGGGTATCAGAATGAAGGGCTGAGATCAAGAGGCTGTGTAGGTTCAAATGCCAGTGTACACAGGGTATTCTGTCTCATTTGGGGGCAGAAGCTGTGATCTAGGAGCTGGAATGGATGTTAAAAAAAAAAAAAGGAGATGGTTCCTAGGACTGGAGTGATAGTACAGTGGGGAGGGCACTAGCCTTCCACAGGGTTGAACCAAATTTGGTTCCCAGTATCCCATATGGTCCCCTGAGCCTGCCAGGAGTGATCCCTAAGCATATAGCCAGGAGTAAGTCCTGAGCACTGCCAGGTATGGCCCAACCCCCCCACGCCACCCCCAGTAAATGAAATTAAAATTTAAAAATAGGTTCTGTCCAAGTGAAGCTGTTATGTCAAAGTAGAAAGTCAAAAACTTCCCAAGTGTCCAGAGCCGGGGAATTGATTAAACACTTCATGGTCGACTCGATGAACAGATTGAAATGGGTGATATCATTTGATTTTTTTTACTGGCAAGGGAGACATGTTCATGATGAATTAATAAAGGCATTGGAAAATCCAGCGGACACCATAACGCTGTTGATTTGAGAGTGTACCCCAACACCTAAGGGTATCTGCAGCTCTGCTCACAGAAGACTGTTAGAAAAGATGAGGAACAAGGTGTTCGCATAGCTGATTGGTGGCATGTGGGTTTTGTCCTCCTTGCTTTGTGATTTTGTTTTGCTTCCCTTCACCTCACCACCTGTTCGCTTTTGAAAGCAAGCTAAGAGGAACTCCAGCAGGTGGGTGTTCTACACAGGGCCTTTAAAGCAAGATTCCATCTGAGCCTGCAGGCCCCCAGCCCTAACTGCAGTGAGGTCAGCCTCGCTGATCCACGGGAGAAGGAAAGGCTTCTGTGTCCTGTTCAAACCCCAGGCACCAGGCCTGCATTGTCCGTGCCACTCCCCAGAGGCAGCTACTATGGCTCTGTCCTGGCCAGGCTTGATCCAGGGCTGTACAGGTCAGTGCCTTCAGCTGATGCTCACCGGGGAGCTAAAGGGTGGGCCCACTCCTGCACGCCACAGCCCAGTGCTCCAGCAACTGCTGCTGTCCATCTTCTCAGCACCCTGTTGTCAGTTTATTTGCATTTTGACTTTTCCTTTCTGAATTATGAATTCCGAGACCTATGTTCCTACCTTTAGTTTTTGTTGTTGTTGTTGTTGCTGGTTTTTGTTGTTGTTGCTTCTACCCAGGCAAATGAGCCTGGAAGTTTGAAAACAAGGCAGCAGGTGACTACTGGTTTCCCTCCTGAGACCTCAGTGGCCTCTGTCCAGCTCTACCCTTGGAGATCTGGAGGAGGAGCAACTTGGGACCTGGTTTTGCACACAAGATGTCTGATGTGGTGATTCCTAACCTTGGCTGCATCTTGCAACCACCCAAGGGTCTTTCAAAACTGTGGGTGCCAAAAAAAAAATAAAGAAAACCCAATAAGAGACAGAGAACAAAAGGGAATGCCCTGCCACAGAGGCAGGGTGGGATGCGGGGGATGGAGGGGGTGGGAGGGATACTGGGATCCGTAGTGCTGGGAAATGGGCACTGGTGGAGGGATGGGTATTTGATCATTGTATAATTGAAACCCAAGCACAAAAATTTGTAAGTCTACAACTGTACCTCATAATGTCTCACTAATAAAAACTAAAAAAAAAAAAAACAAAACAAAACTGTGGGTGCCTAATTGCTTCCCAAAAACCGTGTCACTTCCACTGAGGTGCTTGTCTTACATACAGCTGATTCTAGTTCCATCCCCAACTCTATATATGGTCTCCTGAGCACCACCAGGAGTAACCCTTGAGCACCACCAGGTATGGCCCAAACTAAAAGATAAATAAAAGATTCTGATAGAAAGGGTTCTGGGGTGCAGCTTGTCCTGGAAGTTTTTAAAGCTTGCTGAATGAGACAAAGCTGGCTTGGAGAAAACAGATTTTCCTTCTTGGTCGGGCCCTCCCTACATGACAAGGTGAGGAATAAGCTTTTGAGAGTATTGAGGGTTTTCAGTGACCCACTGGAAAAGGAGCCTGCAGAGATGCAGTCCATTTCTGACTCTCCCTTTCCTCACTGATTCAGTTTGGAGTCGTGCTGGACGCTGGGTCCTCCAGAACCACCTTCTACGTGTATCAGTGGCCATCGGAGAAGGAGAATGATACGGGAGTAGTCAGCGAAACCTTCAAGTGCAGCGTGAAAGGTAAGGTCCCGAGTGCACCCGGGAGGCCTGAAAGGAAATGAGAGGGAGTCCTTCCCGTGTGAGAGGCCTGGACAGGTCCCCAGAAACAAACACCAGACTGAGCCTCAGGAGACTCTGAAGTCCTGTCCTGGTGCCGCTAATCCAAAGTGCCGTGACCCTGGCCAGGTCATTGTCCTTCTCAGGGCCTCATTTCTCTCTGTCTGGAACATGTGGAGGGGGTAGTATGGTATATATTTTTTTTACTACCCCCAATACTTTCAGGAACGCTGGTGAAGACACTAGGTCCTGCAGTGGGGAGAAAAGTAGAGCGTATTAATCCCACTAACAGAGGCAAACAAAACATTCCATGTCTTGTGTAGGTTATCTGAGCCCCCAATTTGCTTAAGATGCAGGGGGCCAGAGCATGCCTGCTCACACCTTGGGTTGTGTTACAGGAGAGGAATGCAGAGATTAGGCAATCTGAAGTCTGTCCTTGGGGTGCTGCGAATACCTGCTTTACACTATGGGGGAATGTGAGAAGGGAGTGGGAAACCCCCTCTGTCTTCCAAACCTTTCACTATGCAAATACATTTGAGGGGAGTAGAACAAAGAAGCAGTGCTTCAACTCATAAAACATGCAAAAATATGAGTAACACATGGAAAACGGGCTTCCAACTGGGGAAGGGATGGCTAGGGAGACTGTGGGTGTGGGAGACAGGAAGGAGATGGAGTGGATTGAGAGAGACAATCGGCACACAAACAGGCTCTTGGTTCTAAGGAAGCTTTATTTATGGACCTGGAAATTGTGGCTTTCATAGATTCTGATGTGTTACAAGAAAAGATTTTTCCGTTAATTTTCCCAATGTTTAAAAAGGAAAAGCTATCGTAGCTTATGGGCGGTATTAAAAAAAAGAAAAAAAGTTGTGAACTGAATTTGGCCCGAGAGCTGGCAAGCCCTGAAATAGAACATTATCGAACATTTTCAGCATCTTTAATGACCCTTCCATGCAGCCTTCTCAGAACACAGCCTGAATTTCAGGTTAACACTTTTCTCATTCTTCCTCACAGTTTGGCTTTTTTGTATTTAGCTTTTCCTGGTTTTTAAAATGGAATCAAACACATACTTAAGGGGGCCGGAACAGTAGTACAACCGGTAGGGCGCGTGACTTACAGGCAGCCCATTTCAATCCCTAGCATCCAATTTGGTCTCTGGAGACCTCCAGGAGTGATTCCTCAACAAAGAGCCAGGAGTAATCCCTGTGCACTGCTGGGTGTGGCCCCCAAACCAAACAACAATAACAACAACAACAACAACAACAAAAACCAAAAACCACATAGGTAAGCAGAATAAAACATATTTTCTTCTATAATTCATTTTGTTTAGTAATGTTGGGATTTTAGGATTCACCTGTATTGATCTGAGTTCCACTCACACCAACTGATGGATCTTTACCTGGCCTGGGTGTTCATAAGGCTGATATTCTCTGTTAGGTGTTTTCCCATTTCATTTTTTCCTCCCCATTCCTCAATTTCTTTTTTGTGAAGGACTTTTCTGCCTCTGTTGCTCATTTTTTTTTATTGAATTGTTTGTCTTATTGGTGTATTGAGATTCATTTTTAGTTATCTGAATGAGATAACTAAAATGATAATAGGCTTTGCTCCTATTATCGTATTATTGCTAACATCTTCTCTTTGTCTATGGTTTGTCTTTTCACTCTCCATAATGTCTTGATGAATAAAAGATCCTGGTTTTTACGGAGATACAGTTATTCATCTTTATGAGCTGTTCTTTAAGTATATGTGTGCATTTATATGTCTGTATAAATAATACATATATATTTATTTTATTTTGGGTTGCTGGGAATCAGGCCCAGGGTCTCACATGTTTAAGACAAGTGCTCTACCACTTAGCTGCAGCCCTGACCTCTCTCCTCTTTATTTTTTAATTTTAATTTATTTTTAATTTAATCACACACAGCCAACATGGCCGACCCGGGTTCGATTCCTCCGCCCCTCTCGGAGAGCCCGGCAAGCTACCGAGAGTATCTCGCCCACACGGCAGAGCCTGGCAAGCTCCCCGTGACGTATTCGATATGCCAAACACAGTAACAACAAAGTCTCCAATGGAGGCGTTACTGGGCCCACTCGAGCAAATCGATGATCAACGGGAGGGCCTTTACTTTACTTTTTTACTTTAATTTAATCACAATGAGATGCACAGTTACAAAGTTGTTCATGATTGGGTTTCAGTCATACTATGTTCCCATGTCCATCCCTTCACCAGTGTTCATTTCCCACCACCATTGTCCCCAGTTTCCCTCCTAAACCCCCTCACTGCCTCTATAGCAGGCACTTTTCTTCTTCTCTCTCTCTCTCTCTCTCTCTCTCTCTCTCTCTCTCTCTCTCTCTCTCTCTCGCAGGCATTATGGTTTGCAACACAGATACTGAAAGGCTATCATGTATATCCCTTTACCTACTTTCAACACTCAGTTCTTGTCCAAAGTGATCATTTACAACTATTATTGCTATACGGGTTCCTTCTCTATCCTAACTCTATCCTTTTTCTAAAGAAACTGTTTCTTCGCCTAAGGCCAGAAAGATATCCTTCTAGCAGAAGCTTTATGATTCTGCCTTTAGCCCACACAATGGAGCACAGTTGGAAAGTGTTTGAGCGCACTTCTTCAAGGCCTCTTTATTTTTTATTTTTTATTAGTGAAACACCATGAGGTACAGTTGTAGACTTACAAATTTTTGTGCTTGGTTTCAGTTATACAATGATCGAGTATCCATCCCTCCATCAGTGCCCATTCTTCACCACCACTGATCCCAGTATCCCTCCCCCACCCCCCATCAATCACACCCTGCCTCTGTGGCTGGGCATTTCCTTTTGTTCTCTCTCTCCTTTGGGTGCTGTGGTTTGCAAAAGAGGCAGTGAGTGGCAGTCATGTTCGGTCTATAGTCTACTTTCAGCATGCTTCTCCCATCCTGGGCGGATCCTCCCAACACCCTTTATTTGGTACTCCCTTTTCTATCTGAGCTGCCTTTTCCCCTAGCATGTGTGGCTGGCCTCCAAGCCATGGAGTGAACCTCTTGGTACTTATCTCGGCTATTCTTGGGTGTTAATCTCCTATTTTGTTACTTTATGAGCTGGAGTGATAGCACAGTGGTAGGGCGTTTGCCTTGCATGCAGCTGACCCTACCGAGCCTGGTTCAATTCCTCCGCCCCTCTCGGAGAGCCCAGCAAGCTACCGAGAGTATCTCGCCCGCACGCAAAGCCTGGCAAGCTACCTGTGACATATCCAATATGCCAAACACAGTAACAAGTCTCATGATGGAGATGTTACTGGGCCTACTCGAGTAAATCGATGAACAATGGGAGGACAGTGTAGGACAGTTCAGGATGTTCCCCAGATGAATGCAATCATTCTATGTCTGTCCCTCTCTTTCTGACTCATTTCGCCATGTAGTACCACTTGTATGGAATTTTCATGACTTCGTCTTTTCTAACAGCTACATAGTACTCCACTGTGTAGATGTACCAAAGTTTCTTTAACCAGTCATGTATTCTTGGGCACTCAGGTTTTTTCCAGATTCTGGCTATTTTGTAAAGAGTGCTGCAGTGAACAAACAAGTGCAGATGTCACTTCGACTATACTTTTTTGCCTCTCTGGGATATATTTCCAGGAGTGGTATTGCTGGGTCAAATGGGAGCTCAATTTCTAATTTTTTTGAGAATCGTCCATGCTGTTTTCCAAAAGGGCTGAACCAGCCGGCATTCCCACCGGCAGTCAAGGAGGGTCCCATTCTCGCCACATCCGCACCGGTTGCTTTTGTTCTTGTGGATGTGGGCCAGTCTCTGTGGTGTGAAATGATATCTCATTTTTGTTTAGATCTGCATCTCCCTGATGATTAACGATATAGAGCATTTTCTCCTGTGCCTTTTTGCCATTCGGATTTCTTCTTTGAGAAAGTTTCTGTTCATTTTGTTGCCTCGTTTTTTGATGGGGTTGGATGTTTTCTTCTTGTGGAGTTCAACCATTACTTTGTATATCCTTGATATCAACCTCTTGTTGGATGGGTCACTGTCATGGTCATGGTCCTCCTGTTATTCATCGATTTGCTTGAGCAGGCCCAGTAACGTCTCCATCATGAGACTTGTTACTGTGTTTGGCATATTGAATACATCACGGGTAGCTTGACAGACTTTGCCGTGTGGGCGAGATACTCTCGGTAGCTTGCTGGGCTCTCCGAGAGGGGCGAAGGAATTGAATCGGGCTCGGCCCGTTGTGTGCAAGGCAAATGCCCTACAGCTGTGCTATTGCTCCAGCGGTTGGGTATTGGGCGAATATCCTTTCCCATTCTGTAAACTGTCTTTGTATTTTGATCACTGTTTCTTTTGAGGTGCAGAAGCTTCTTAGTTTAAGATAGTCCCATTTATCTATCTCTGTTTTTACTTGCTTGGCTAGTGGCGTGACATCTTTGAAGATAACGCTAGCTTCAATGTCATGGAGGGTTTTGCCAACCTTATCTTCAATGTACCTTATGGATTCCAGTCTGATGTTGAGGTCTTTAAAAATGGGCTCAGATCTCTGCCTAACACCATGTACAAACGTAAGATCAAAATGGATTAAAGACTTCTTCGAGGCCTCTTTAGAGCACTGTGATCTGGGAGCTCACCTGTGACCTGAACGGGCTCCAGGTATCACCTCAGCCCACAGCCCAGGTGTTCTCTAGGCCCTGAGGGACTCATTTCAGTGCACCGACAAACTGTTAGAAGTTCTTGAAAGTCATGGGAAGCAGAATTAGCTTTATCCAAGCATCTTATTTGAGTATCCAGGGTTGGTCCTGACTAGCCATCCCTCAGTCCCTGGGTGTCACCGTCCTGGGAAGGCTGCTCTCTGTAGCTGACAGAGGCAAACCCTAAAGAGGAGACAGCAGTGCCACAAGCCTTTGGCTGAAGTGGTTTCTACATGCTGTGCTGGGCTCACCACAATAAGCACCATGGTGTGGGCCAAGCACTG